GGCTCCCCCCGCCGGCAGCGCGGGCGCGGGAGCTGGGACTGCGGGGTCCCCCGCGGGACCCAGGAAGCGAGTTCCCGGGTCTCCGGGAGGTGTGGTCCTCGCAGCCGACTCCTCCCATTGTCCTTGTCGGAGCCGGCGGCCCGCATGGACTACCACTCCCAGGGTGCCGCGCGCGGGCTCCGGACCCTGGGAACCCGGAGACGCCGGGGGAGTGCGGCTTGCTCCTGCAGGCGTGGGTGGGGAAGGAGGGCCGCCAAGCGCTGGTCTGGGCTCCGGGCGCGACCCGGCGGTACGGAGAGAGGCGGTGGCGAAGAGCAGGGCCGGAGCACGGGTTCCTCGCCAGCCTCGGGCCGGGCGCCCTCCATGAGGCTCCGCGCGCCCTGTATTGCCGTGGAAGGGGCGAGTGACTTGGGATGTCACAGCCCCACCGTCCCAGGGCCTGCTGCGAAGTTTGCCCAGACTCCGAGCCCTCGCGGCTGGCTTCCTCCGGGGAGCACGGGGCTCTCTGAAGGGTGAAAGTGTCCACACTGCTGGACAGCGGACGCATGGCCACCAGGGGCCGCTACAGGACAAGGGGCAAAGCTGGAGAGCGGGGAAGGGGGCGCGCACAGACTAGACTCGGCATTCTCGTCCAGAAGGGAGAGCACGGGAAACTCTTTATTGTGGTGATGCAGTCGACCCCCGCCACGCGCACACAAACACAGTTAACCTTCATTGGTGCAAACTTCGGTGCCCGCACCCTGCAAGGGGGCTCGCCGGCCCAGGCTTTGGCGACCCGCAGTCGGCCGGAGCGGGCTCTCGGCGCTCTTCCTGGGGCCCATCGGGAACTGAACTTGCTAGGCTGCGCCGTAGCGGTGCCAGGTCTGAAGCCGAGCCAGGCAGCTTTTTATCCTTTACTCGACTATTGGTCTTGGCTGAGGCCAAAGACGCCACCGACACCCCATCAGGTGGTGGGAGAAGAGGGGCGACAGGAAGAAGTCGAGGGTCGAGACGGCCTCGAGGAGGAGTAGAGGAAAGTGGAGCGGATGGTCCATCCCGGCGGGAGCTGGCTGGGCGAGTGGCCGCGCATGTGCGCCTGCATGGAGGCCAGGCTAGGACAGCCGGCCCCGCACAGAGGGCAGCGGTATGGCGCGGCCCCGTGCGTCCGCAGGTGCTTGGTCATAGCCGAGAAGTCCCGGGAGCGCTGAGGACAAAGGCTACAGGAGAAGGGCTTCTCTCCTAGGGCGAGCGAAAGGGGAGGCCGGTGAAGGAAGCAAGAAGGGGCGAAGGCTGGCCAAGCTAGGGGAAGATCGGGCGACGGTGAGGGAGTTTTGTGAGGGCTGGCACAGAGTGCCTCGAGTGGGCAGACGACTGGGGAAGGAGGCAGACAGTTCACGCGGGGCAGGGCGCCCGTACCTGTGTGGACTCGGTAATGCGTCTCCATCTGATGCTTGAGTGAAAACCTCTTTCCACAGACGGAACAAGCATAGGGCCGAGACCGAACAGGAGGGACTGAGGGAGGGTGTTGGAGAGGCTGACAGGCTGCTTTGCCCTCATGACCCACACAGCTTGCAAGGGTGCCTGCAGGGACAGAGAAGTCAGGAGGGCAGGGCCAGGAATTCCAGTAACATCCAGGCAAGAAACCGGGGGCTACGGTGGGGCTGAGGTGTGCCCTCACCCTACTTACCTGTGTGCCCCTGAGCAGACTCTTCCGTCTCCCCGGGGCTGAACTGTGGGGGGCCCTGAGGGAGGGAACCTGGAGGGAGCAGAATGAGGTAGGGGCTCTGCTCAGACGGGACTCCTGGAGCCATACCCCAGAGGAGAAACCGTGTTATAGAGTATATGCAGGGCAGTGAGGGGCTTACCTGGGGTGGGGCTGGAGGAGGCTACCTGGTTCTGGTTCCAGAGCCCTTTGGGAGCATTCAGAGACAATGGGATTCTGGGAGTGGGGTAGGGAAGAATTACTGCCTTGGCAAAACCTGGGAGCTTGGCCCCTGCCTGAAGGGGGGGGTCCTGAGTCCTCCTCAGAGGCTGAGCTTTGGCTTCTCCTGTGGTGGGAGCTTCTTGTCCCATGCCCAGCTCAGGAAATGTACAGTAGAGATAGAGATATGGTACCCTTCCACCCGTCAAAGCTGCCTCTCCTGGACTGCTCCCTCCCAGCCTGGAGGCCTTTCACCAGGCCATTCACTCACCTCTGGTTCCGTGGCCAGACCTGCCAGGCTCCAGTGATGGGCGTGCTATGGGAGAAGGGGGTGCCACACCTGGGTGGCAACAACAAGATGCTCCACAGGGCAGGCTGGTCCTCCCCCAACCAAGGGGCCTCAGCCCACCAGGGCCGGGGGGCGACCCTGGCCTGGAGGAGACCTGGTGGGGGCGGGGGGCCAGGGAACTCCCGCCCGCATTCCTCAGCGCCCTCCGGACTGTCTCTCAGCCACAGGGTCAGTCCCTGCTCCCCATCCGCTCCTCTGTGGCCAAAAGGGGATCGGCTGAGTTTCTCCTCCTTCGAGCTCATCTGCTCCCCCGGACCCTCCTGCATTGTCCCTGCCATCTCAGGGCTCTCTTTCGGGGGCTTGTGCTTCTGCAGCATCTCTTCTTCTCTCCCACCAGTTCTAAAATCCTCTGGTTTCTGCTTCTCTGCCAGGCCCCCCAGTCCTCTCTCAGAATCCCTCGTGGGCTTCTCTGGCTCCTCTTGATGCTTCTTCAGTTCTGGGGCCAGCTCTTCAGCCCTGTGCCTTCGAGCACTCCTGCATGCCTCTTCCAGGGACTGCACCCCCAGTGCCCTGGCCGCCGCCTCAAGGGGCTCCAGCTCCTCAGGCTGCAGCTCTATACTCTCCCCATAAACAAAGTACAGCAGGCGGGCAAAGGTGGAAGGGCTGATGCCTTCTACCAGAGCCCACTGGCCCCTGTGGCCCAGCTGCTCACTCACACCTGCCAGTACCAGGCTGTGGGCAGGGAACTCCTGGCTCCCTACAGTGATCAGGGTGTCACACAGTGCTGGCCGCAGCCTGGCTGCCAGCCGTACTAGCCGATCAGAGCCATAAGGGCTGGGCAGTCTTACGGGGGGAAGGGGCATTTTGCCTTTCCTGGGTGCCAACCTCAGAGGCTCTAAGAGAAAGGCCACAATGTGGGGTCCGTGGTGGAAGGGAGAGGGAGGAACAGTATATTCTCAGGCCTGTGGAGGTGAGGGAAGAAAGAGTGAGTTGCTGGTCCCAGATCAGAGCTCTCTGTCCTGAGTGGAAAACATACACTAACCCAAGAGAGGACCTGAGCTTATCCAGAATCAAAACAGGAGCAAGGGGTAGGGATGGTGGTGGGAGAATGGAAATGAGACTAAATGCAGGGCCAGACGGTTAACAAGAATATCAAGTAGTAGGTTTAAGACAGGTAGGTGAGGCCTGCCTGCCAATTGGCAGTATCTGACTTAAAGGACAGCAGACACTGAGACTTCTGCTTCTCGAATCTCCTCTGTAGAAAAAGACCTCTGAGCAGGCCAGTTTCTTGTTCCAGACAAGGGATCACCACAAAACCCGATCAAGCCTGGCACTTAGGGATGGGGCAAGGCACAGCTTCATGGGAGAGCTTAGGAAGCCAGAGAGTCCTCCCACTAGAATCCCATCACAAGGAGGGGAATCCTGGCTGTCGGAGGGCAGGCGCTAAGGCATCTGCCATTTGACAATCTAGAAGTAGAAGCTCCTAGAACACATCCTCAGAGAAGGAATAGGGAGAGATCAAAGATTCCCGACCAGTAAGTTAACAGCTGGTGTGGAAGCCAAAAGGGAGAAAGCTCCTAACCCAATGAGGGTGAAAGGTTTTGGAGAATTGACCCCTTAGGAAGTGAGAGAAAGGCAGGTGGGAACTATATAGAGGAACACAATTTCTCTCAAGATTAGGACATGGAGATGGTTTGATTTTTTTTCTTTCTTTAATTGTTTTTCTTTCTTTTTTTTAGTTGGGGTCTCTCAGATTGGAGTTTGATCACGGCTCACTGCAGCCTCGACCTCCTGGTCTCAGACAGTCCTTCCGTCTCAGCCTCCTGAGTAGCTGGGACTACAGGTGGGTGCCACCATGCCCAACTATTTTTTTTTTTTTTTTTTTTTTTAGTTGGAGTCCCACTCTGTCCACCCAGGCTGGTCTCAAACTCCTGGGCTCAAGCAATCCTCCTGCCTTGGCCTCCCAAAGTGCTGAGATTACAGGCGTGAGCAACCACGCCTGGCCCTAATTTTGTTTTTCATAAGACAAAAAATGAAGACTAGAAAGACAGAACCCAACAAGACAGGAGTTTATCACACATCAAAACCACCACAGCGGCTTTTGAGAAGACTGGGAACCCAGATGCAAAGAGATATAGAACCTAAGTGTCTTAGCACCAGCAGGCATAGTCCTAGGTGCAAGCTCACTGTGACCAAGGACCCTTGTGAAAGGAGGGTTACTACTTGGACACCTCCAGGAAAGAGCTACAGATTGGTAGGGAGTTGGCAGAAAGAGGGTTGTAACAAGAAAAAAACCTCAGTTGGGGAGAAGCAACCACTTACCGGTTGTAGCTTCCTCCTGGACACAACACCGCATGCTCTGAACTGCTGTTGGGGTTCCTAGAGCCCCCCCCCATGGGGCTAGCCCCGCCCCTGACCTCGCAGTCCTCCATTGGATGTCTCAAGTGCCAGCAGGCCACAGTCCCCCAAAGGGATGTGGTTTTATAACCCTGGCTCTGCTTTATGCCTGCAGGAGAGATCGTCCCTTCTCCTTCCAGAACCTAGACATTATGCCTCCTAACCTCCTGTCTCTTTACTTCATTTGTAAACTAGAGGCAAAGAAGTGTATCTGTGGCAACAAGGACTTTGGAATAATCAGACCTGCATTTGAGTTTCATCTCTGCCACTTATTAGTTGAGTCACCTTTTTGATCCTTAGCTACCTCATTCGTGAAATAGGGATAATCTCTGCTTATCACATTTGGAAGTGGGGGGGAGGCAAAATGACGTGATGAATGTGAAAGTGGTTTATAAGTACATGGCGCCATTCAGTGCTATGGTTCTGTTTCTCCGAGGTGATGGTAGTGGTGTAACAGCTGGAAGCTGTTTCTGTTACCTCTGAAGTAAAAAGGATGGAAACGTCTGGATTCTAAGGAAAAGTTAAAGGAGAGGCCTGAAAGCATGTCTTCTCCATCTCTCTGACTTGGTACTGGGAAGCCTCACTTGCTCTGTGGGAATGACCCCTGTCATATGGGGACTTGGTGTGTGAGTGACTCAGATCCTCCCATCAGACTCTGAAGGGGGCAACCCCAGGAAGGGCCTGTGGTGGTCTTTGAAGAGAAAAATCTCTTTTTCTTAGGCTGATGACAAATGATATTTCCTTGAAATCAGGACTCCGGGGTTTCTCTCACTTCCTGCCCAAGGGGTCAACGTCCCTGGAGATTTCCCCTCTTTTTACACTTTAGCACTCTTTAATCTGGGGGAAGGGATGAGACCTGAAAGCCTCAAGTTTCTTTTTCCATTTCAAAGTCTACTATTCCTGATCCTGTAGCAGTTTTTTCATTCATCCAACAATTGTGGATAAAGTATTTATGATATGTCCCTGGGACAACATATATGCACAATAAATAATGGGAAGATAAACGAATCCGGCGCTGGTAGGCTGCTCTGATAACAGCTCAGTCTGGTTGCCTCCTAGACCCAAATGGCATATCTCTAAGCTCCTGTTTCTCTCTCTGACTCCAGAACCCCAACATGCCTTCCCTGTCATACTAGCATGGGTGCAGGCAGGCGTTAACCCTTCCTATGCCAGACAGGGTGTGTCATTGGTGAGGCTGGTGGGGAGCAGTAGGGTGGGGAGAAGGGAAGATGAGTCAGAGTGAAAGGGAAAATGCAAATGTGCAAGTTGCATTTATCTGCTACTCTGAATGTTAAATATTTTCCATTTCTGAGCTTTCTAATTCCTCACACCACCACACCCATGGTGGGGCACATTAGACAGCCATATAAAAGACACATAAAGCATCAACCCCTCCAATATATATGTACACAGAGGGAGACATCCTTCCTCTAACGTGGGAATACATGATCCCTATAGACAAGGAATAAGAGGAAAGCCATGAGGGAGAAGCCCCAAGTATAGAAGGAAAGACACAGGGGGCCAGAAGATGACCTCATCACCCCGTGGAGTGTGGTGCCCCCACCTCCCAGGCCTCGATCGTGTGCCTGTGACTCAGCTCCCCTCTGGTGTGGTTTGCTCACTGATGATCAAGAACTCAAAGGGCAGCGTCCCCTGTCAGCCAAATGTAGTTTGGCAGCATCAGTGGGCTTTTGGGGGAACCCAAAAGAGAGGAGAAGCGGCAAGGGGACTCCCCGTTCAGTGAAAAAAAGCCCCCAGGATGGGAAACACCGTCTTGCCTCCCACTTGGTGTCTCCCCCACTAAGGATATCCCCTCGAGCCCGCCTCCTTAGAGTTAGTTCCAGGGCCCTCAGCACCTCAAGTCTTGTGCTGGTGATACCTTAGGCCTTTCTCTAGCCTCTCCCTACACTCTTGACAGTGCAGCACAAGCCATAGCCATCCTGCACTAAGCAGTGACAGCAGAGGCAAACAGCTCTTTGACTTGGAAGGGTAGGGACACTACTAGCTGTTGCTGTTCTTACAAGGTCGCCCTTCCCTAGTCTCAAAACGTTGCCCACCTTCCACTTTCCAAGCTCACTCGGCAGGAATTGTCTGTGGTTGTCATGCTGGGGAAGAGACAGGAGACCGCAGGTTATGAGGCCACCTGCCTGTATCCTAACAGTGCAGACCAGGTAGGAGAGGTTAGGTAGAACGTGATTGGAAGAGGAGTATGTGGGAAGAGGAGGTATGATTTCTGTCTCTCAGTCCTTTTGGGTTTTTTTGTTTAGTTTTTTTGAGTTAAGAGTCTCACTGTGTCACCCAGGCTGGAGTGCAGTGGTATGCTCCCAACCACCATAGCCTCAACCTGATGGGCACAGGTGATCCTTCTGCCTCAGCCTTCCAAGTGGCTGCAACTACAGGTGTGTGCCACCATGCCCAGCTAATTTGATTTATTGTAGAGATGAGGTCTTGCCAAGTTGCTCAGACTGGTCTTGAACCCCTGGACTCAGGCAATCCTCTCACCTCAGCCTCCCAAAGTGTTGGGATTATAGGCGTGAGCCACAGCATCTGGCCTTCTCAGTCCTTTTTAATGCTCGTTTTACTGAATAAAGTTTGAGAAATGACATTTCTTATTCTTTTTTTTGTTTTTGTTTTGCTTTTTTGAGTTGGAGTCTCACTCTGTCGCCCAGACTGGAGTGCAGTGGCCGTTCCCGGCCACCGCAGCCTCGACCTGCTGGGCTCCGGCGATCCTTCCGCCTCAGCCTTCCGAGTAGCCGGAATTATAGGCATGCGCTGCCACGCCCGGCTGATTTTTTGATTTATTGTAGAGATGAGGTCTCGCTGCCCAGGCGGGTCTCGAACCCATGGGCTCAGGCAATCCACTCCCTTCAGCCTCCCAAAGGCGCGGGATTACAGGATGAGCCACTGAACCCGGCTGACATTTCTTATTCTTATTAATAGATTTGATCAATGGTACCCTGAGGAGAAAATGTGTGAGGAACCCAGTGTACACCCTGGCTGCAAGTTAGAACTTCCCAGAAATCCTTGTACCATAAGATTCTTCAGGCACAACCCAGTTTGATGTAATAATGTCAACACAGCAAAACAAATATCAATTGTCTTTAAATATTATAATTGGCCGGGCTCAGTGGCTCAGCCTGTAATCCCTGGACTTTGGGTGGCCGAAGCAAGTGGATTGCCTGAGCCTGTGGGTTCGAGACCAGCCCGGGCAACTTGGCAAGACCTCATGTCTACAATAATCAAAAATCAGCTGGGCAAGGTAGCATGTGCCTGAAGTTCTGCTGGCTACTTGGAAGGCTGAGGCAGAAGGATTGCTGGAGCCCAGCAGATCAACGCTGAGGTGGCTGTGAGCATGCCATTGCACTCCAGCCTGGGCAACAGAGTGAGACTCAGACTCAAAATGAATACATAAATAAATATTATAATTAAACTCAAACCATCAGAACAGGCCAATTAGAGGGATGATCACTTGTTTTATGACAAATGTTGGCTGGGTGTAGTGGCTCACGCCTATAATCCCAGCACTTGGGGAGGCCGAGGTGAGA